CAGTTGATGCGTCTTTCTGGCTTCCTCCAACTGGCATCTGTATAGTCTCCTCCCTCCAATCTGACAGAATAGCAATATGCCTGGGGCTTGAGAAAGATTTCTCTTCAAACAGCTGGGTTACCTCTGGGTTATAACAACTTCTTGATTTGAAACGCTTCGGTATAACTCCCAAATCTCTTTCCTCTACTGTCATTCTGAAAGCATCCATCATCTCCTCCAAACAAGGGCTGGCAGATCCAATTAATGTTCCGGAGAGAGGGCCCCCATACTCTCCCCACTGCATATCTCCAACTTTGGCTGATTGTTGATCTTTCTCCATCTCTGGGGAAAGAACTCCGGGGTATCAGCCAAGCCCCTTCAAATAATAAAAGTGCACTTTGGGAAATAAATGTAAGGCATCCAGAAAGTATCCATGATATCAATCACTCCGAGACATTTCCTCTCCAATTGATTTATTTCAAAACAGATCTGGTATGTCAAAGGCAATTTCCCAAAGTGAAATTATTTTCTCGCGTTACACAGAATCCACCTTCTCTCCTCCCACTTCTACACTTCATAAATCACGAGAACCAATTAACTGCAACTGGAATTTGTTAATACGACATACAGAATAACCTTGAACTTTTCAACCCCCCCTTCCATGAAATGTGACAGCTGAATTTTAAAGCTGACAGCAAGATTTTCATTACACTGGATTTAAGAGAAGCCTATTACCGAGTCCGCATAAGAGAAGGAGACGAATGGAAAATGGCTTTTAACTGCCCACTGGGCAGTTTCCAATTCCAACTCATGCCTTTTGGACTTCAAGTCCCACCCCCCACAGTATTTATGCAGCTGATAAATGAGGTGCTACATGAACATCTGTATAAGGGGGTCCTGGTTGACCTGGTTGACATTCTTACATTTAGTGAGAATTTGGAAGAACACGTCAAACTAGTCAGACAGGTACTGAAAAAACTTTTAGCTGCCAATCTTTATGCAAAGCTGTCAAAATGCCAATTTCACAAGGAGGCTTTGGACTACCTGGGCTACTGAGTGTCAGATCAAGAGATTGAAATGGACCCTGGAAAAGTAAAGGCTGTGCTGGATTGGCAACCCCCACGAACGCGCAAGCAACTACAGAGTTTCCTGGGCTTTGCAAACTTTTATAGGCAATTCATCCAGGGGTGGGATCCGACAGGGTTAACTACCGGTTCGGTGATTTACGAGGTTCAGTGATTTACGATGTGCTTCCCTGCACACTGCACGCGCGCCTGTAAATCATCATTAGCCTGGTGCCTGGACAGCTGAGCAGCGCTACATGCCAAGAAGCAGCCTTTGAAAAAGTACTTTTTTCCTGCTTTTTTAACTGCAGCTGTGCCTCGCACGGCAGCTGAAGTTGAAAATGCAGGAAATAAAGGTCAGGTAAGAGCCCGGGCGGGCGAGTGGGCAAGAACATCAGCAGACATAGAACCGGTTCTATGTCTGCTGCTCTTCAGAGCTACCGGTTCTACAGAGGTGGACAGAACCGGTAGAAACCCACCCCTGAATTCATCCCTTCTTTTGCAGAGGTGGTGTTCCCTTTAATGGAGCTACTAAAATCCAGACCTTCTCCTACCAAGCCAAAGCCTAGTCAACCTCTCACTTGGACAATGGACTGTCAAAAATCCTTTGAACAATTAAAGCGCCTATTTGCAGCAGAAACCATCCTTTATATAAACCCTTTATAGTCCAAGCCAATGCCATTGATGTGGCTGTAGCGGCGGTTCTACTTCAAAAGAACTCTCAAAATGAGCTGATGCCTTCTGCTTGTGTGTCTAAAAATTTAATGGACACGGAACACAGATGGGCAGTCTGGGAGAAAGAAGCTTTTGCTGTACAATGGGCTCTCTTATCCTGGAGGCATTTCCTCAAGGGAGTTAGTGAGCCTTTCGAGGTGTGGACTGATCATAAAAACCCGAAAGCTTTAAAAAAAACCTTGAAAACTTTCTCCTAAACAAGTCCAGTGGGCTCAATATTTTAAACGCTTCAACTTCAAACTAAAATACATTCCAGGGGGGGAAATCTATTACCAGAGGCCTTGTCCAGAAAACCCCAATTTGACAGCCGACAAGAGGAAATAGTACATTCAATGATCTCTGAAGCCCAACCAGCAGCTCAAGCAACCACTAGGGCACAAGCCAAATACTGTTCTGACCTCCCAGAAGACAAATTAACAGCAGATTTGAAAGCAGTGCTGTCAACCGATATTTGGTTTAAAGAGAACCAAACTGACTTAACTTTGAGGGAGGGACTGGCGTGGAAAGGAAGTAAGATTTATGTGCCAACCAGTATGAGACTAATGGTGCTAAAGCGTAGTCACAACTCTCGACTAGGGGGCCATTTCAGATTTTTAAAAACTCTCCATTTAGCCAGAAGACAATTTTGGTGGCCAAGGATGAAAACCGATGTTGAGGACTATGTAAAAAGCTGTTCCATTTGTGCTACCATGAAGAACAGACCAGGGAAACCACCTGGGCTTCTCCAACAAGTAGCCAAACCCACGAAACCCTGGGAGGAGATTGCCATGGACTTTATTGTTGAACTCCCAGAAAGCGGTGGAAATACAGTGATTTGGATTGTCATCGATCTATTCTCCAAGCAAGCACCTTTCACCGCTTTTAATGGACTACCTTTTGCAAAGAAGCTAGCAAAGCTTTTCGTGAAACATATTTACAGGCTTCACGGAGTTACGCAGCGAATAATATCAGATCGCAGAATCCAATTTACTGCTAAGTTCTGGAGAGAGTTTTTGAAGTCTATTGGAACGTCCCAGGGGCTTAGCTCGGCATTCGATCCGGCTACCAATGGATCGGCAGAACATTCGAACGCAATGGTGGAACAATACATTAGATGTTATGTAAATTATCAACAAGAAAATTGGGCTGATTTATTGCCATTTGCAGAAGTGGCTTATAACAATGCAGTACACAGTAACACAGGCTTAACTCCTTTTCAAATAACTACTGGCATGGAATGTGTTCCTATGCCTGAATTACCTAGGGAACCACCCACTTCCATGTCTCTAACAGAATGGATGGACTCCCTACAAAAAGGGTGGGAAAACACAAAATAAAGCTTTAGCAGAAGCAGCTGATGAATACAAAAAACATGCAGACAAGCATCGTTCTCTCCAACCACCATTTAAAGTGGGAGATAAAGTGTACTTATCAACTAAATACCTCAGATTAAGATTACCTAGTAAAAAACTTGGACCCAAATTCCTCGGTCCTTTCCCTATAGTGAAAATAATTAACCCAGTAACTGTTCAGCTTAGTCTCCCTCGCATATTAGGGAAAATACATCTGGTATTTCACAGCAGCTTATTAAAACCAGCAATAGGCTCTACTTTGAGACCTATCCCAGCTGCCCCTCCCAAACCTGTAGTTGTACAAGGTGAAACACATTATGAAGTTAAGAAAATTCTTAACTCTAGATTAATCAGAGGCCGGTTACAGTATCTGGTCCACTGGAAAGGGTACCCTTTGTCAGAAGCTACTAGGGTGAAAGGTTGGGATGTAAAAGCAGATAGATTAGTGAAACAATTTCATGATAAATTTCCTGATAAACCAAAGGGTCCTCCTTGGGGGGGGGGGGGAGTGTTAAGTGACTGGATGGACTAGGCACTAACCCCTTATTGTGTTTTGTCTATTTTATTTTCCAGGACGTGTTTTTTTCTTCGGAGGGGGGACACCTGTCAGCTTTGGAAGCCATATTAGAACCAGAAGCTTCCACACTGCCACATTCCTGTGCCTGGGAAAGTAGGAGGGGGGATTTTAGAGTGTTGGTAGTTAGGCATTCTTCTTTTCGGTCGAGGTCATGTTATTCCTGCACCTGGAGGAGGAGTGGTTGAAGGGATGTCTCAAGTTGGGACACTTGGTGATTGGACCATGTGATGGACTGTTGCGTGCAGGGGTTGGGTTTTGACTTTTGAATTACTAAGGGAAAACCCAGAACTCTCAGATTCAGGTTTTCCCAGATGTTCCAGTATACCTACTCTAATAAAAGGAAACTTTGAAAAAATGCCTGTCTCAGAGTTTTTAATTGGAGTTGGGTTTTTCTGGAACCCTGACAGAACCTAATACCCCCTGGAGAATAGCGTGAGATACAGCACATTCAAATGAGGCTTGCCTGTGGAAAGAGGAGTTGGTTTAAAAAGATCATCTTTCCCTCAGCAAATAGCAGGGCTCTGGTGCATTTCCCTCTGATGCCTATTGAAAGGAGTTTTTCAGATTGCAGAGGCCTAACACAGGATCCCTGTATCCATCTGTACACTTATTGTATGTATACATATATATACATGTATGTATACATATAGTCCAGCTTTCCTTCCAAAAGACATGGATTTCATTGATAAAATCATGTTACATTTCATAATGTAGTAATGAATCAGGATATTTCACACAAGACAGTTGACATCAATTGGCCTTTTTTAGTGGGCAGTCAGATGAACTAGAACAAGTGCTAAGTGCTCTTTAAGTATAAATCCATAAACAAATTCTCAAGCAACTACAGGCTGTATGTATTCAAGTGTGTGTGTGTGTATACACACATATACCTGTTGAAGCACTAATGTAAAAATCATTGTTTACTGTCCTGAATTTTAGAAAATTTTTACAATCTTACAATCTTGTCATTCTATATGAAATATAGACATAAATATAATTTAAAACCCAGTGTTTTGTCACACATCAAAATACATCTGCTCTAGCATTAGCTATATTAGGTATATGAAGTAACCAACCCACAGCAGTGTAAATTTTTGTCCCTTGAACAAAAAACTATAATAGGAAAAACAAAGAGAAATTAGTTAGTTATAAATGTTAAACTAGTTGTAAAGAGCCATCTCCAACTGAAATATGTTGAAATATATTTCTGGAACATAAATATTTCTTGCTTCCATATAATCCATCTTATTGATTACATTTTACTTTGTCACATAGCCTTGCTTTATCTTTTATACTTGTATTTTTTTCATATAGCTAAACCTATTCGTCCTGGTCAACATCCAGCTGCTTCTCCAACTCATCCAAATGCAATTCATGGTGGAATTGCTTTTACTCAAAATAGCCAGCCAGTTGCCTTACATGGAGGTGGAGCTCAGAAAGAGGAAGCATGAATTTAGATGATCAAGGTTGGTTGATTACTTTAAACTTGTGGTTTACTTTATATGTAAGAAATTGGAAAACTTAAACCCTGAGAAGAATGAATTAATAACATACCAGAATTGTACACTAGTATTAGAATCATATAATAATTACTGACATCATGGAGACTGTATATTGTAATGAAGAAATGTTATAGTTATGAATACTTGTGTAAAGTCACACTTTTGAGATTGTAACAGTTGTAAGCACTTTTTGTTTATGTATGTTCTTTGGTTATTTTTAGATGGTGAGAATTACAACATGATCAGAATTCGATATTGCACAATGAGAGTCATTCCTTGAAAATTAGAAAATTCTATAAATTTATACCAACTGTACAGCTCTCCTCAGTATTGGATTTGGCTGAGTCCCAGCAAATTAGAAAAAACCTTTTCTTTCCTGGAAAATTGATGTGTAACTTAAAATGTAGCTCTCATTACATGATCTGTCTTTTGTGTCTTAAATTTGGTCTGCGTTGTGCCAAGTTTAATGTATGTTAAGCAACATCTTACAATTTCCTAGATTAATTTATGTATATTTAATGGTCTTAGGAAGTCTGGAAAAATGTTGAAATAAGTTTTGAACTTTACCACTTGTAATTACACTACTTAACCCACTCCTGAAATCGAGCAACACAGTACATTAATTTATAGACACTTAGTCTCTGTATAGAGACTAAGACTAAAGTTATATGTACAGTATGTGATTACTGAGGTGTGCTTATGACGATTGTTGTCTTTAGGCACTGAATTCTCAAAAACATGGAATGCAAGTGTTTTTGTGGTGCTTTTTATATGTTCAGTTAAATGTCTCTTAATTGATTGCTGAGTTAATACTGTGTATAGTAAGTAGTAAATATAGCTTTACATGGAAAGATTTGGAAATGACTTTAATCTGTTTTATTCCTATATACAGAATAGCATGATGAGGTAAAAACATTCTGCTTTATCTTGATGAGCCTACCAATCATCAGAGCTGTATAAATTTGGGTGAGAAATTGGGAAAGTTATTTTGCATTATTTGTCTTTCTTATTTTAATAAACTTTATTCTACAAATAAACTCTACAATGCATATTTATTCCACAATAAAAACTCTAGTATAAATGACAAAAAGTCTACAATAGTCTGCAAACTACAAATTTGCTTAACACTTGAGAATAAGAATTGATTCATTAAAAACCTTTCCAGCAAACTGAGAAACAGGAGCAAAGTTAAAGTTTAAAAAGACCAGAAATGGTAGATGACTATGGGAATTGATTTCTGTAAATGTATGTTTTTCAAGACATCTGAATTGCTCTTCTGTTTGTTTTTGCAGACAGTCCCAAGCCCTGTTTTTTTAAATGAAAGTTTTGCCCTATAGAACAGCACTTCAGGAAGTTCAGCCTTTGATAGAGATTTCCTGCATGATAAATTCCAAAGGATTTAGAAGGCTTTCTCATAACAGTTGTAAGATTGGTAGGAGTAGAAGAATAAATTGCAGCAGTGGAGAAATGCTAAATAACTGCTTTCCTGGCATGTATTTATTCTAGTTTTGTATCTTGTTACAGTAAGTTCACAAGCACTTGCGGATAAAGGTTTTCTGTAGATTTTTATGACTAACATTTTTAAAAATTAAAGTATTTGTACTATGATGGAGCCTAATACTAGAAAAATTGGCCTTTTTCCCAATAACTTCTCATTTGTGATTTTTAAAATAATTTTTAGAGGCTGTACTTTTTAATCAGCCAAACTGTTGATAGTTTCAGAATTGTCCTAACACAGTTCTTACTGTGTTTAAAATAAACCCTCCAGACATGAGATGAAAAGACATCTGCAACATAAGAAGGGACTTGTACAAAGGAAAATGGGTATTTAAGTAATAATTCGTAGTCATTTTTTCAACAGTAACATCCAGATTCAGTTTGCCCAATTCAAATTTGGTGTCTTGGCAGTATATTCAAATGAAGCAGAATATTTTCTCATGGTTGTTTATGGTAGTTTCATTCCTCTAAGTGATGTATTACAGGTTTTGGCCAGAGGTGGTATTCAGCCAGTTCTGACCAGTTCTGGAGAACCGGTAGCGGAAATTTTGAGTAGTTCAGAGAACCAGAAAATACCACCTCTGACTGGAGATTTTATAGTATCCTTCCACTGCCACGCCCACCAAGCCATGCCCACAGAACCGGTAGTAAAAATTTGAATCCCACCGGATCCGACCCATGGGGTGCTTAGATCTGGCCTGTGGGGCTGCCCTAGGAATAATGAAGGACCGGCCCACGGTGCCTCTCCCAGCGAAAACAGAGCTTGGGAGGGTGGCCCTCCCGAGCTCCTTTTTCGCTGGCAGAGCACTTGGGCCACCACAGGTGCACCCGACACGAGTGACGTGTTGGCCACACCCACACTGGCCTCCTGAAATCAAATACAACCGTCATGAGGCCCTCAATGAAATCAAGTTTGACACCCCTGGTCTACATTAAACTTGGGGGGTCCTTGGTACTCTCTGAGCTTGCTTGTTTTCTTGCAGATGTTTCATTACCCAAACTAGGTAACATCATCAATGCTAGTAAAGAGTGCTGTTTGCTGTCAGTTTATATTGTAGTGCACAGGTGTCAAACTCGCCACATCACATTGATGTCACGTGATGTATCGTGACATTTTTTGCCTTTACGGAGCTGGAGTGGGTGTGGCCTACTCATGATGCATCTGACCTGCGGGCCGCCAGTTTGACACCCCTGTTCTAGTGGCTTGCCTGTCGATGTTGGTGGGGATGGTCTAGAGCGGTGGTTCCCAAAGTGGGTGGTACTGCCCCCTGGGGGGCGGTGGGATGCCTTAGGGGGGTGCTAAGAGGCAAGGGGGCCAGCAGGGGGGTGCTAAGAGTCAGCAAGGGGGCGCTGGAGGTGGGCCCCTCGCAGGGCGCAATTTAGGGGTGGGATTCTACCAGTTCTCTCTCTTTCCCTCTCTCAGGCTCACCCCATTGACTTGATGCACCGCTCTGCTCGGACTTGCTTGGGCAGGTCCCTCCGGTGCAGCGGGCTCAATGGGGTGGACCTACGGGGCCGGCGCCTCGAACGCGGCAGTGGTGGTGCGTTTGAAAAGTAGAGCAAAGCCAGACTGCGTTTGCTCTACTTTCCTGACGTGCCTGCAGGGCCAATGCCTCGAACGCGGCAGCACATTGAGAAAGTAGAGCAAAGCCAGTCTGGCTTTGCTCTACTTCAAACGCACCACCACTGCCACATTGAAGGCGCTGGCTCTGCAGGTCCACCCCATTGAGCCCACTGCACCAGATGGACCTGCCCAAGAAAGTCAAAGCGGAGCGGTGCACCAAGTCAATGGGGTGAGCCTGAGAGAGAAAAGAAAGAGAGAAGGAAGAAAAGAAAGAGAAAAGGGAAAGAAAGAAAAATGGACAGACAAAGAAAGAGGGGGGAGGAAGGGAGAGAGAGAGAGAGACCTGATGCATCAGATTGAAATGAGGCCTAGTTTAGACTGAGGCCCTTTTCCACATTGAAACATCTTTGCCAGCACATTGAAACATCTTTGGCTTCTATTAAAGGTTTTGTGGACGAAATGTTGGTCAAGACTATCAGAAAGCTCTCACATTTTGTTGAGGCTTTAAACAGGATCCATTGGACCAGATCTCCACCCTAAAAAAATACTTTTCCCCAATCTATTACAGTGCCAATTCTGAAGAAGGCAAAACCAAAATGTACTGGTAAATTACAAGGAGAACACACACACACACACACACACACACACACACACACAGAGAGAGAGAGAGAGAGAGAGAGAGAGACTCCCTTCTAACCCTGCTGGAGCAGGTGATTGGACTAGAATAGATATCTCATTATCTTTCTCCTCCCTCCCTCCCTCCTTCTTTATTTCTTTTTCTTTCTGTCCCTTCCTTCCATCCCCCACTCTTTCTTTGTCCCTTTTTCTTTCTTTCCCTTTTCTCTTTTCTTCCTTCTCTCTTTCTCTCTTTCTTTTCTCTCTCTCTCTTTCCCTCTCTCAGGCTCACACCATTGACTTGGTGCACCGCTTCACTCGGACTTGCTTGGGCAGGTCCTTCTGGTGCAGGAGGCTCAATGGGGTGGACCTGCGGGGTTGGCACCTAAAACGTGGCAGTGGCGGCACGTTTGAAAAGTCGAGCAAAGCCAGAGGTTGGTAATTTTTTCTGCAAAGAATCACAAAAGCTTCTGGGTTGTGCACAAGAAAGGACACACATGTCAATGCAATTCAGCAACATAAAAGAAATACAAATAAAACAAATCAACAAGAATTGGCAAAGCATCTCTGATTAGATTCTATTCACTACTAGAATCTAATCAGAGATTCTTTGCTGATTCTAGTCCAATGACCTGCTCCAGCAGGGTTAGAAGGGAGTGTGTGTGTATGTGTGTGCATGGCTGTCAAAACTCCAAAAACAGGTCAAGTAGCTCTGGGGAGGCCAGTCATAAATTAGAACACTTGCCAAGCAACCGGCCATTAAGTGAGGACCACTTGTATTTGGTTTGCCAGTCATCTGGCCACGCCCACCCAGTCACATGACCACCAAACCACACCTACCCGGTCATGTGACCACCAAGCCACGCCCACCCAGCAAGCCACACCCACCCAGTCACGTGACCACCAAGCCACACCTTCAAATTAGGCCATGCCCACAGAAATTTGAATCCCACCCCTGGGTGTGGGGCATCGAGGATGAGTTTGTAGCACCAAGGGGGCGGTGGAATGAAAAAGTTTGGAAATCACTGGTATAGAGATTCTTTGATTGGGCTGTTTGCTGTTGGCTCTTTGGCAGTTTCTTGATCGGAGTATTGATTACTTGATTGTTGGTCTGATGTTTACCGTGGAGTTAATCTATGCTGATCTAGATGCTGATTGCTGGTGGAGAGGTGCTTGGGTCTTTTTGTTCCTTTTTGGGCTGGGTGATAGTCTCTTTTGCATAGTCTATAGATGTTGTTAATGTCTATGTGTCTACTGATGGCTAATTTGTCAG